TCACAGAATCACTTTCTGGAATGATGAATAAAATGTATGAGTAAAAATGAGAAAATCGAGGGGATAATATGGGGAAAAGTATTCCCTCAAAATGAGGGAAAATGTTATGGGGTATTTATTTATTTAAACGACCATTTTATTTTATTTTATTTTTTAATTAATTAATTTTAAAGTTTTTGGCTGCGTTGGGTCTTCGTTGCTACACGCGGACTTTCTCTAGTTGTGGAGAACGGGGGCTGTTCTTTGTTGTGGTGTGTGGGCTTCTCACTGCGGTGGCTTCTCTTGTTGCGGAGCACAGGCTCTAGGCACGTGGGCTTCAGTAGTTGTGGCTCACGGGCTCGGTAGTTGTGTCTAGCGGGCTCTAGAGCGCAGGCTCAGTAGTTGTGACGCACGGGCCTAGTTGCTCCGCAGCATGTGGGATCTTCCCAGACCAGGGATTGAACCGGTGTCCCCTGCATTGGCAGGTGGATTCTTAACCACTGCACCACCAGGCAAGCTCCTTGGGGTTTTTTAAATTGAATTTGAGGGGGAAAATATTCAGGATAAGTTGTCAATACTCTCTTAAACGTGGAGTAAGAACCAGCGCATCTAACTTACAGGCCCCGATTTCCCAGCCCAGCTCCCGGGAAGAGCCTGGTGTTGGAAGGACAGGGGCGTAGAAGGTGGCCCTGGTCAGCTACACGCTCCACCTGGCACACGCCTCAAGGACAGTTTGGGGACAGCTCTCTGAAAACACAGAGCAGGCAGACACGTGAGCTGAGAGCTGTCTGAATGAACTAGGCCCTGCACATGCTCTGCTGGTGGCTCTCGCCTCCAGTCTCTGTCCTGGAACCAGCTGCTGGAAGGCGGGCCTCAGGGGCACAGGTGCTCTGCTGGCTCTGGGGATGCCGCCATGTTGCAGCTCTCTCCCGCCAGGGGCCGCCGGTGCTGGGCTGCACACTCAACACTTTGCCTTTATTATCAGTGAGTCCCCCCAGAGCTGGCTGCTGTCTTACCCCCAGTGACAGATGGAGAAACTGAGGCTCGGAGGGGTGGCCACTCAGCTAGGGAGGATAAGCTGTCAATCTTCTAGGCAAAAACCAGTGAGTTAAAAATAAAGTGTCAGAAGAATCAGAAAATAATCTTATCATAAAATGAGACTGATTTGGTGAAGTCTCAGGTAGCAAATGCTACATTCAATGAGCTTGGGGTTTAGGGTTGTGTTGATTTCTGAATTTGTTTGGTAATATGGTGAACCATACGTCCAGAAAACACTAAACCTTTTTTTAAAAATCACGATGTCATTGGGTTCTTTGGTTGTCAAATTTCACTTGCATATAATTGCCTCAAAGTGTAGGTACAGCATTTGAAACAAAATGAAAAAAAAATTAAACTGATAATGATGTTCTTGGTCTCTGAATAAACTCTGTTTTTAAATAGAATATACCAAGCATGGTAGTTTTAAAGACCAATCCTAATTTTGTGAAATACATTTTTATTTTTCTAAACTGGAAAAGAACTGTATGTCTGTCAAGTGCACTGAAGATAGGCAATGGAGAAACAGGTTTGATTTAATTTACCAAAAAAAAAAGAAAAAAAATCCCAAACTTGGTTATGGGTTTTTTTTCCCCTTACAATTAAAACATATTTGTATTTTACATCTTTAATAATGAGTAACTTTGGGAATAAATGTTTATTTTAGTTGAAAACGGTACAAAGACTAAAATATTAATGAGGGGGTCTAGAAAAAATTTGAGAGGCAGGGATGGAAATAGAATGATTTATCTTGAGAATTATCAGTACCAATATTAGTAACCACTGACATTGATTGAACGTTTACTGTGTGCTGGATAGTCTACTAAATCCTCAACACCAGTGCTTCTCAAATTGTAACGTATAAGAATCATTTGGGGGAATTCCCTGGTGGTCCAATGATTAGGACTCAGTGCTTTCACTGCCAGGGGCTCAGGTTCAATCCTTGGTCAGGGAACTAAGATCCCACAAGCTGGAGGCCCAGCCAAAAAAGGACTAGGATCCCCCAGTCCTTTGGGGATCTTTAAAATGCAGATTTGCAGATTCTGTTTTAGTAGGTCTGGGGAGAAACCTGAGATTTTGCATTTCTAAGAAGCACCCAAGCGATGCAGATACCACTGTCTGGGTTTGTGAACCAAACTTTGGAGAGCAAAGTTTTAGTTGGATCATCTCATTGAATTCTCACAGTAACTCGATGTACTATTAATGTCTCCATTTTGCAGATAGAGAAACTGAGTCCTAGGGAGATTAAGTGATTTGCCCAAGTAGTGGGGCTGGCATTCTGACTCTAAATCTACATTTTAAAATTAGAATCATCTAGCCAGTGGTTCTCAGTTCTGGCTGCACACTAGACCCACCTAAAGAGCTTTTAAAAATACTGATGGCCCCACCATTTAAATCAGGTTCTCTAAGGATGGGGCCTAAGCATCAGTATTTATTTCAAGCTCCCCTGGTGATTGTAATGGGCAGTCAAGTCTGAGTACCACTGGTCTGTGTCAACCCCATTCTTTTACAAATAAGGCAATTGAGGCCCCCACCACAAAGAGTCAGTGTTTGTGACCAGGAACCCAGGTCCCCTGATTTAGTCAGTATCTGAATAAGAAGCCACTGTAATACAGGCTGGGGTTGGAGAGGGGGAGATGTTTATCTCTGTTGAAAAAAACCCTTAATTTAAACCTTATTAAACTATCAGCTAAGAAAAGCCTACAGGGCACTTACCGTAAGACACTAAAGGGACTTCCCTGGCAGTCCAGTGGTTAAGACTCTGCTCCCATTGCAGGGGACACAGGTTCAATCCGTGCTCAGGGAACTAGATCCCACATGCTGCAACTAAAGACCCGGCACAGCCAAATAAATAAGTAAATATTTTTTAATAAAAGACACTAAAGAGGATCTAAAGTAATTTACATTATTTTGAGGAAAAAGGGTACTTGATTGTTAAAAAAGCAGGATCAGAATGAGCCTCAGAAACCCAAAAGAATGTAAGGAGTGGTGGATATGCTGGGTCTTAGAACAATTCTTTTTTTTTAAATTAATTAATTTATTTAATTTTTTATTTTTGGCTGCGTTGGGTCTTTGTTGCTGCATGCAGGCCTTCTCTAGTAGCAGCGAGAAGGGGCTACTCTTCGTCGCAGTGCGTGGGCCTCTCACTGCGGTGGCTTCTCTTGTTGTGGAGCATAGGCTCTAGGCGCCCGGGCTTCAGTAGTTGTGGCACGTGGGCTCAGTAGTTGTGGCTCGCGGGCTCTAGAGCACAGGCTCAGTAGTTGTGGCACACGGGCTTAGTTGCTCCTCGGCATGTGGGATCTTCCCGGACCAGGGCTCAAACCCGTGTCCCCTGCATTGGCAGGCGGATTCTTAACCACTGCGCCACCAGGGAAACCCACCACAATTCTTCTAGTCTATACTGGGAGAAAATTAAAAAAAAAAAAGAACAACAAACTGTACTTTGATTGGGCGCAGTAAGATTGTGTGACTATCTCAAGAAATTTCACACCTATCCCCAGTGTGCATAAGATCACCAATTCTGAAGATTTCTAGATTCACTAAGAAAAGTTTACACTATTTATGAAATGATTCATCCACTCATTCAACAAATATTTGTGAAGCACCTGCTATATGCTAGACACTAGATCCTGAAAATATGGCAGTAGACAAGACAGATATAGAGGTTACAGTCAGAGAAGGATGCTGCCCGTCCTAATGCTCTTGCCCTTGACTTAAAGGGGAGGAGGCATGTGACTTAGGCTTAGCCAATCATTATACTCCATCCATCTCACCATGTGATGGTTAAAGCTGGGCCAGTGAGAGTGTGTCCCTGAGATTATTATATTCAATACACTGAACCCTGAAGCAGGAGTTCTGTTTCTTCTCTGGGATTGCCATCTGGGCTAATAGAAGCTAAGGGTGTCTTCAGCCATGTCTCATGCAACTTAGCATGGAAGAAGCCCTGTGAGAAGGGGGTGGATAGGGACCAGCTGCTGAGAGAGAGACAGAAATCCGATGACATAATTTGAATTCCTGTATCCAGAATCTATTCCACCTCTGTCCTTCCCAGATATGTGAGCTGATAAATTCCTTTTCTTACTTAAGCTGGTTTGAGTCAAATTTCTGTCATTTGCACCCAAAAGAGCTCTGACTCAGACTTACTGACTCACTGAATGAACAAGCAACATGAACCTCTGAGTTTTTCTAATACAGTGGCTCTCAGACTGTGGCCCCTGAACCAGAACCTCGGCCTCACCTGGGGACTTGGGAGATGCAAATCCTGGAATCGTATCCCAAACTTACTGAATCAGTAAGTGTGGAGGAAGGGCCCAGACATCATTTTTAACAAGCCCTCCAGATGATTTCAATCCACACTAAAGTTTGAGAAACTGTTCTAATACAGCCCTTTCCATAGATGTGAAACTAGAAGCCCAGAAAAGGGAGGTAATTTGCTAAAGTTCACAAGACTAGTCAGAGGTTGCTTTAGACCCTCTTCGTAATCCAAGGGCTGTAGGGTTTAAGAAAGGAGGGCCACTTGGAGTTTTGAGGGAAGTAAACACATGGATAGGCAAATAGAAGGGGGAAAAATATTTTGGGTCAAATAATACAGTACGGTTGGAAACACTTGCTGTGTGTTTCCACAGGAGTTTGGAGAATGTCTTACTCATCTTGGCTCCCCAGCTGAGCCAACAACAATGTGTTAAAGCTCCATGGCCAATGGCAGGAATCCAGGAGAGTCCTTTCTGTGTGCCAGCAAAGAGGAATTTCTTAGAAAAGCTACAGAAATTACGCTACTATCACATTTCACTTTGTGGAGTGAAAGAATAAAGAGGATGAAACAAAAAGCAGGGAACTTCAGTTATTCCTAAGAGTCCCACCTCTGCAGCTGGGAGAAAGGGATTTTATTGTTGTTCCTGCCAGGGCAGAAGTTCCCCGGAGGGAAACTGGGCACCTCACCTGGTGACTTGGAGAATAACTTGCTTTTTTTGAACTTTTTTTTTCAGGTGGAGGAAGAGAGCAGCAGTGTTCCTGAGTGTCCCTGGAAACTCTATTTAGTAGCCTGCTTTCTGAAGATTTGCCCACCCTGCCCTGGGGACGTGGTGTATCCAGAGGCAAACCTAAGAAAAAAGAAGCCCTGGCACCATATGTATGAAGACTTCTTCTGTCCTTCTCCTCCTCTTGAGTATACAGATAAGCATAGGAGGGAGCAGAGCAAAGAATCAAGGGAAGTTTCTGGCACTACCGGTTTCAGAGAGTACAAGCTTTTAATAGCCAATATACACTTTTGCTTTGGTATATCTACTCAGGCAAGGCCAATGCCCTCCAGGAAGTTACCTGATAGGAAAACGAAAGCATCACCTCCTCTCATAAAAATCCATGATTCACACATTCATTCATTCATCAGTTACTTATTAAATATCAACTACGTGTCAGGCACAGGTCTAGGCACTAGGGAAACAGCAGCAACAAAAATAGTAAATACTAGGGCTTCCCTGGTGGCACAGTGGTTGAGAGTCTGCCTGCCGATGCAGGGGACACGGGTTCGTGCCCCGGTCCGGGAAGATCCCACGTGCCGTGAAGCGGCTGGGCCCGGGAGCCATGGCCGCTGGGCCTGCGCGTCCGGAGCCTGTGCTCCGCAACGGGAGAGGCCGCAACAGTGAGAGGCCCGCGTACCGCAAAAAAAAAAAAAAAAAAAAGTAAAAACTACAACAACAAAAACAACCTTGCCCTTATGGAACGTATGGAACTTTCTGTCTTTTTGGGGAGAAAGACAATAAACAAAACAAGCAAGTACAGAGGCAATTAGTGCTATGGAGGAAAAATAAAACAGGGAAAGAGTAGAGACAGAGCTGGGGGTGGTGAAGAAGGGAGTTTGAAAGGATAAATAAATAGGGCGACCAGGGAAGGCCTCACTGGAATTCAGTGTGGCCTTGGTCATAAACCCTCAAGAAAGATCTCTTGAAGCTGGAAAAGACCCTGAGAAAGAGACTCAAACAATCGATCAAGAAATAATTTCATCAGGTAACTACTGATATCTACTATGGTATAGATGAGTGCTCATCAAATATTCCATGTACTTTCCTACATTTCCCAGCCTTCCCTGCATTAGGTTGGAGCCATAGGACTAGTAGTCGCCAATCGTTTGTGAGCAGAAGTGATATGGGGCTTCGTTGGTGGTGCAGTGGTTAAGAATCTGCCCGCCAATGCAGGGGACATGGGTTTGAGCCCTGGCCCGAGAAGATCCCACATGCCGCAGAGCAACTAAGCCCTTGCGCCACAACTAGTGAGCCTGCACTCTAGAGCCCGCGAACCACAACTACTGAAGCCCATGTGCCTGGAGCCCGTGCTCGGCAACAGGAGAAGGCACCGCAATGAGAATCCCGCACACCACAACGAAGAGTAGCCCCCGCTCACCACAACTAGAGAAAGCCTGCACGCAGCAACGAAGACTCAACGCAGCCAAAAAGAAATAAAAATTAAAAAAAAAAAAATCCTGTTAAAAAAAAAAAGAAGTGATAAGTATCATTTCTGGGCTGAGGCATTTAAAAGCCCAAGTGCTTCCTTCCCCTTCCCTTGCCTACCTTGGCCATCTTGGAGGCACATGCTCCTGGCTGATTGTCTGCCCTCAACCCGCTCCTCTCGTCTCATTTTTTTTCAGGCATTCATCTTTCCCTCATGCAGCCCATGTGACTCAAGGTACACTGAGCCCATCCTTAGCTGCAAAGCCAGTGTGCTGGGTCTAACCCAGTGGTTCTCTTTAAGTGTGGTTCTTAGGCTAATGACATCAGCATTATTTGGGATCTTGTTAGAAATGTACAATCAGAAAAGTAAATTCTCAGCCCCCAACCCCTCAAGACTACTGAATCAGAAACTCTGGGGCTGGGGCCCTGCAATTTGTATTTTAATAAGCCCTCCTGCTGATTCTGATGCAGGCTTATATTTGAGAACCACTTGTCCTCACCAATCATGTTAATCACATTCCCCTTGATAGTGATTGGTTCCTGAATCCAGGTTTAAGCCAGTCAGTGTCTGGCATTCCCCTGGCAGCTGAACTGGTTCAAAGGGAGTCATGTGACTTAAGTTGGCCCAAGTCAGACTGAAGAGAAGGCTATTGAAGCCACAGTTGAAGGAGGATTTTTTTCCCTTCCTAAGCTTTCCAGGACCCTGCTCCTTCCCTTACCCCTTTTGATGGACACGAGTGAGGTTGCCTTCTTTGCCGACCATGAGGGAAACTAGGCTGAGGGCAGAGCTGAAAGGATCACAGTGAAAAGGAGCCAGAATGCTTGCACTGTGCCTGTTCCCTGAAATAACACATTTCCTTATGATTTAAGCCAGTTGGACTTGTGGTTTCTTGTACTTATAGCCAAAACTGTCATAACTACAAAGAAGTTATGAGACCAAGGAAGTATGGGGCCAATGGGCATACCAAAAATATTCTAGGATGATGAAGGACGTATTTAGTTAACAGGGATTTTTTTTTTTCCACCAAGTTCTCAAACACTAGACCCAGCTAGAATGACTGTTATAACTTGGGAAAAGCAATTTAGGACAAATAAAATGGAGCATTACTTCATGCACTGGGTCCCCAGGTGGTGAACTGACTAAAAATACACAACTAATATTTTTTTAAAAAGAGGGGGACTTAAGTAATCTTCTTAAGTGAAATGAAAAAAATGGAGTAATACACAAGATGAGCCCAGAATATATTGTAGTTCCAGAAAGTAAGAAAGTGCTCAAAAAAGAATGGAACGCAGGAACCAGCCTCAAAGAACTCCCAATGACTGAAGCCAAGACAATTTGACAACAAAATAAATAATGATAGCATTGGATAATAAACCAGACTAAAGTAATTACCCATGAGTCCGTAATGATATAAATAAATAATTGAATAAGTAAAGAAATGGGAGAGAAGATATAGCTCTTCCCTATAGAAGAGTTCCAATGAATTAATGTAGAAGGAATGAATGAAAGAAATGGAAAAGCAGTTAGAACACCACAGTAATCATTGTTGCAAGTGTGATCCACTGATGGATGCTAAAATTAATGGAAGAAGGTTTGAAGAGAAACAGGATATTTGTATAGTCTCAAAGTATCTTCCTCAAGGGAGAAAATGAACATAGAAGACAAACTAGGGTGTCACAGGGCTGTGTATGTCCAGGGTTTTCCCCTGAAATACGCCCTGTGGTTTCAGACACAGGTAAACAGATTTGGTTTAAAATTGCATGGCCAGGACTTCATGGGTTCCTCCAAGAAACAAGAAGGGGATCAGAGACCTTCAGTTAGGACTGAGCTGGATGAGGCCTGGCCCAAAGTGTTGTCCTCTGTGTTCTACTCTCTACGAACCCAATGGGTTCGTCTTCCTCACCGCCCCCCCGCATCTCTACCCCAATGCCAAGGCTGCTCTCTGGAGGCAGGGTGGTGGTCAGTTGCACAAGCCAATGCCAGTGTGCAGATCTACTGGAATGCATCTAGTTTCCTCTCGATTTTCTGGTTGGTTATTTGTGTTGGCAGGGGGCCATGCTCAGTTCCTCCCAAACTGGAACACATTCTCTGGAAGGGCTGGTCCCACCATTCTCATCTTGGTCGAGGTCAAAGTTTCATTGTTCATTAAACTACCATTTGTAATTTTCATCGAACAGAATGACAATCTGTCCAACCGTCTTCATTCAGTATTTCAACAAGAGAGAGTCTTTTTGCCTCCCACGAGAGTGTGTGATTTACTTATCTCTTCCATTGTGCAGTAGGTTCACCACCATCACAACTAGCGCAATGTTCTGGAGCAAAATTTTGTTGTATCACACGGTGACTTCACTCACATCGGCAGTGACTGGTTTCTCACCTAAATCCACCAAAGCCTACACCACAGAGGATAAGATCACATCAGCAGACACTTCTCTGGTCTGAGTGAGTGCCTTGGAGGGCTGGGATCACCTCTTGCCCATCTTCATCCTGCCCAGAGTCCGGCACATAGTAGATGGGATAGTCATCAGTGCAGTTCATCAAAGTATGATGAACTACCTCTCCACTTCTAGGTCCTTGTAGGGCTGCATTTCTCGGCCCTCTGTGCCTGGGTGCAACTATGTGAACAGTTCCAGCTGATGAGTTGGGAGCAGAAGTGTTGCACATCACTTCTGGGCTGCAGCACTGAAATGCTTGTGGTCCAGAACTCTCTTTTCCTTCTAGCTAAGCAACCAGCCGTGTTTGAGAAGGTGGCTCGTCAGTCAGCCTGGGTCCCTGAGTGACTGGAGGAAGTAGAGGTCCCTGTTCCAACCTATAATGACAACACAATGTAAGACGTAAACCTTTGTTGCATTAGCCATAGAGATTTTGAGAGTTGTTTGTTACTGCAGCATAACCTAGGATATCCTCACTGATACTGTAGGCATTAAAAACAAATGTTTGTTGAATGAATGAATGACTTAAACCAGAAAGGATTTCTGAGCAGTGGTAGCTCCAGAGTTTCTATAAAAGGGAAATTCAAACTTGGTAAGCTGATTACAGTTTTGTGGGAAGTGGGGGCCATGTTGGCTTAGGGGAGTTTTCTTGTTTTGTGTATGTAGTACACTGTTTTTGTTAGATGCCTTTTATTTGGGCTGTTGGAGTGTTGATGGAGATTATGGGGGCCTAAAAGACCCCATGCCAACTCTTGGCACCACCACTGGAGTTTAGATTGACATTGTTACCAGCTATGTATTTTTTTTTTTTTTTTCTGGCGGTACGTGGGCCTCTCACTGTCGTGGCCTCTCCCGTTGCGGAGCACAGGCTCCGGACGCGCAGGCTCAGCGGCCATGGCTGCTGGGAGGATCCCACATGCCGCGGAGCGGCTGGGCCCATGAGCCATGGCCGCTGAGCCTGCGCGTCTGGAGCCTGTGCTCCACAATGGGAGAGGCCACGACAGTGAGAGGCCCGCGTACCGCAAAAAAAAAAAAAAAAAAAAAGATGTAAAAACCGAGTATGTTCATCATCATCATCATCATCATCATTCTAGTTCCTCATCCCACTCTTTTGCCTTGCACCCAAGTCCCATGTTCTCTTTGTGCTCATTTCCCTTGGGAAATAATGAATCTGTTTGAGGCCATTGTGTAGTATATTTTTAGACTAGCCACAGGTAAAGTTGCATTTCCAGTTCTAAGGAGAGAGCTGGGC